TCACATGTATAGTATATGTAGGGAAACAAATTCACATGTATAGTATATGTAGGGAAACAAATTCACATGTATAGTATATGTAGGGAAACAAATTCACATGTATAGTATATGTAGGGAAACAAATTCACATGTATAGTATATGTAGGGAAACAAATTCACATGTATAGTATGTACTGAAACAAATTCACATGTATAGTATATGTAGGGAAACAAATTCACATGTATAGTATATGTAGGGAAACAAATTCACATGTATAGTATATGTACTGAAACAAATTCACATGTATAGTATATGTAGGGAAACAAATTCACATGTATAGTATATGTAGGGAAAGAAATTCACATGTATAGTATATGTAGGGAAACAAATTCACATGTATAGTATATGTAGGGAAACAAATTCACATGTATAGTATATGTAGGGAAACAGATTCACATGTATAGTATATGTAGGGAAACAAATTCACATGTATAGTATATGTATAAATTTGTTTGGAAAGGTGCCAGAAGTATTGAAATTGTGAAAGAAATTGTTTTACTCTTATTCGTATGCAAACAATTGAGGAGAATTTTGAGCTCTCGAACGTACACACCTGCTGTAGTATTCATTTAAATATGGCGAATGTAATAGAAGGCGAAAGTGTGACTGACCGACCGGCCTTACCTAGAGAGATGGAAGCATTTTATTATACTGGCTTTGGTGGTCCGGAAGTTTGCGAGGTAATATGGGAATATAATTGGGTTACTTATTGTGGGTTACCCACAATAACACCAATACCACAATTGGGTTACCACCGATGTGGGAGTAGTAATGTTAGCGAGATGGTAGGGTTTATGGACTTGTAATATGATTTTACTGCTTTCTCGGTATACCCTCGAAAATTGATTCATTGAGGATTTACATAGTAGTGAATTGGATATATATGATTATAATTCGGATCGTAAATAGTAGTTTATATTATATAGTGGAGTTTCACGACCGTGATATGAAAAACACTAGTGGAAAACATATTTCATGACTACTGCATAGCGCGAAATTTCGGGTTTTTTTATGGAGTGTTACGCCACTTCACGTAAGACGGGTGAAACTTTATTGTATATCTTTCAGAAATTCGAAACCCGAAATTGATATCATCATCCGTTGAATTGGAAAAGACAGCCACGAAATAGATTTTTGAGAAAATTCGCGAAAGTGAAATTCCAATATGACATCCAATTTGTATATTTGATTCCAAGAGTAGTGTAGGGCGTGAGTTGACTGAATGATGGTATTGCAGGTGGGAAAGCTCCCTCTCCCGGGTCCGCCGGGTCCACATCAGCTTCTGGTAAGGTATGCATGATTTGTCGGAAATGTGGTATGGATTTATCACAGGTCAAAGTTCACTATGCGTCTTTGAACCCGGCTGACTATCAACAGCGAAATGGGGAAACTAAGCATCTGCTTAAGCATAAGTTCCCGAAGGTACTAGGCCTAGCTTTGTGGGGTATTTTTCGCACGCCCGGAAATTCATCTGTGAACTGTGCAATGTAAAGTATGCGAAGTGATGTTTTTAACGCCTTGAAATTTCGGAAGTCAACATGATAACAATGTGAATCGGTTGGCACCAATGTTTTAGAACTAATCTCTCGAAAATCTAGATGTCTGTGTGAGTTTGAAGTCCAACGGCCTATTTAGACTCGCATCGATGCACATTAGCTCTCGAGAGATCAGCTTTAGCCTTTTACATTGTCTACTTTCATCATGCCGTTTTGTGTACTGAGCGAGATAACCTCTGCCAATGTACTTCCTTTTCTGCCAGTGTTGGAAAATATGCACATGCTCCACCACATCTGTTGGCAACAACACGAGAATTCTGAGGGAATTTAGGGAGATTTTCGGTGATTTCTGTACACTTCTACCCGAATTCGAATATAAACTTGTATATAGGTGAGGAAACTTCAGAACTCAATCGAGGAAAGCGATCATATTCTCCAACACTGTTTTCCGCATCTAGATATGCATAAATGTTTGGTTCACACTATGTAAACTGATTCTGTAGTGAAAATAAATTTGTTGAGGTGACATTTTTTTTCGTTGGTGATAAATTAAATCGGAAAAAATTGTAAAATTTTACTGCGGGCCGATTTTGGAAATCGGAATGGAATTTTTATTCAGAATTTTCGATTTTCAATGTGCCCGAATGAGCGGAGCGAAGTAGTAGTTTTCTGTTCGAATAGGTATTCGGATTTGATTTTTCTGGAGATGTTATGGAGATTGGCGACGAAGTTAAAGACTTCAAAATCGGCGAGGAAGTGAGTGGTGATGTCGTTAGCGCTCGCCCGATTGATCGATTTGTTATTTTGGTAGGTTTTTGGTATGGTTGCTGGTGTTAGAACAGGAAGTGCTGCTGAATATGTGAGTTGAGGAAATGTAAGGATGGATAAGATTGCAAGATTTGTAAGTAGGTTATAGTAGATGATTATGTATGTGCATTGAAACCAGCGGACAT